GGGGTCGCGGACCCAGGCGTCCGGGCTCCCAGCCCCCTCCTCCTCTCCCAGAGAACCCAGGCATCCTGCGCCAAGATGTGCCTTTAAGACTAAAAACCACTACTTTCAGAAAAACCCAAAATGGCCCGAATTGGCCCCGTTCCACACTCACCTTCCAAAGCCAGGATAGCACGGACACAGAGGAAGACAACCCACGGCGCCATCGGCCCAGGGGGCGGAAACTGAGGCAGGTACCAGCCGAAGGCTGTGGAGAGGAGGGGAAAGTCCCCCCAAACCCTCTTTTTCAGCCCAAAAACATCACCCAGATCCAAACCAACCCAATCCCTTTGGGGCCCTTGGGAAAGGGGGATGGATTCATTTCACACCGGAATAATGGGGAGAAAAGGATTTTTTCCAGGAAAATCCCTCCAAAATACTTTTTTTTAAAGGACCCAGCCCAAAACTGCCCTTTTTCTCCCCAAAATCATTGCCCTGTCACATAAGCCACAGAGCAGCCAGGAATGGGTTAACCACCCCCCCTTGCAAAGTACTGGGAAGAGAAAATGTCCCTAAAAGGCCAGTACTCACCCCGAAAAAGGCCCCGAAACCGCCAAGATCATGTGAAATAAACCCCAAATTACCCTGTATCACATGAGCAAGCCCCAAAACACCAAGAAATCACTCCAAATTTCACCTTCTCCTCCAAAAACGGCAAGAACCAGCCCGCCAGGAGAGAAATGTGGCAGAACCCCCTACCCCAAATATTCTTAATACCTCTCTAAAAAGCCAAAAGCGCATTAACTCACCCCCAAAAATGAAGCCTGCAACAGTATAAAGACCCTGAAAGCCCAGAAATGGCCCCAAAATTCACCTCTGTCCCCAAAACCACGAGATGTAATGCTTCTAAAAACTAAATCTGGCATCAAAAGTCCCCAATAATATCATTTATAGGCCTCAAAAAGCCAAAAATCCCAGTAAATCAACCCAAGAATTGAGGACCTGAATTAAACGGGAAAGCACCAAAGAGCTGAGAAATTACCCCATGATGCACCTTTTTTCCTCCAAAAACTGCAAGAATCAACCCCTGCAGAGAATCAACCTGACATCAAAAGCCCCCAAAATGTCATAAATTGCCCCCCAAAACCCCAAATCCCAAGAATTAAACCCCCCAAATTAATAGGTATAAAAAATACCAAGTCCTAAAAGGTGAAGAAATCCTGAAATCCACACCCTGCCTTGAAAACCTTGATATTCAACACCTCCACAGTCCACAAAATTTCCCTTTAAAAAGCCCAAATCCCAATAAAATAACACCTGAAAAATAGCAGTCCCAAGAAGTGGAGAATTCACCCCTAAAATTCACATCCTGCTCCAAAAAGTGCAACTTTTTGTGGCTCCAAAATATAAATCTGACATCAAATGACCCCTAAATGACAAGAATAGTCCAAAAATCCCCAAATCCCAATAATTCAATGCCCCAAAATTAATATTTGAATAATAAAAACAGTTCCAAAAAGTGGGAAAAATCTCCCCAAAATTCACATCTTGCTCTAAAAACTGCAATATTTAATGCGTTTAAAATACACGTGACATCAGAAGACCCCAAAATGTCATAAATTGCCCTAAAAAAGCCAAAATCCCAATAAGTAAACCCAAAAAATAATACCTGAAAAATAGCAGTCCCCAAAAGTGGAGAAATCACCCCAAAATTCACATCCTGCCCTGAAAAGCTCAATAGTTGGCACCTCCAAAAAATAAACCTAACATCAAAAGTCCCCAAAATGTCATAAATCGCCCCCAAATCACGAGAATTAAACCCCAAAACCCTGAAAAATATAAACATCCCCCAAAAGTGGAGAAATCACCTCAAAATTCGCATCCAGCTCCAAAAACTAGAATCATTAGTGCCTCTGAACTATTAATCTGACACATAAAGCCCCCCAAATGGTATAATTTGTCCCCAAAATTCTGATAATTAAACCCAAAAATTGAACACCTGAAAAACACAAGCAGGCCACAAAAGGGGAGAAATCTCCCCCAAAAGTTAACAGCCTGGTCCAAAAACTGTGCCTCCAAGTATAAATCTGACTTCAAAAGCCTCAAAATGTCATAAATTGCCCCCAAAACCCAAAATCCCAATAACTGAACCCAAACCGGGAGTCCTGCCAACAGACCACAAACCAGCCCGCTGCCCCCCCAAAATTGGAGACGAACTTCATGCTCTGGCCCTGAAAGAGCCCCTGAAACCTGGAACTGGCCTCATATCCCCTCCCAGCTGCCAAAAATCCCTACTTTTAGAAAACCTGATTTTGGGCAAAAGGGCTTTTCTCTCGCCATGTCGAAGCTGGAAAAGGCCCTGGAATGTGGGATTTTCCTGGAAAAAAGTAAGGGGAAAAAATCCCCTTTCCTTCCTTCTTGGGGAAGGCTCTGGCTTTACCAAAAATCACCACTTTTGGGGGAATTTTTTACCGGATTTCACCCCAAATCTGTGTCTGGCTCTTAGGGATTCCTGGGGAGGTTAACCCCTGCCTGGCCACCCCTGGCTCTGGGGAGGGGGGACCCACCCCTAATAGAGGGGTCTGGGGGTGGGTTTGGGGAGAAAAAAGGGCTTTTGGGGGGCTGGGAGGGGAGGGGGTGTCCCTGCCCGGGACGCCTGCGTTCCCTCCTGGCTCCAGGCAGGACAAAGGAG